TTTAAGAGTGCAGAGAAGAGCGACAAAGACGATTGAAGGGACTGAAGGCTAAAACATATGAAGAACAATTTCAGGAATTGGGTATATCTAGTCTAGTGAAAAGAAGGATTGCCCAAGACATTTGGTGTGGCTGGCTCAGGAATTCTGGGTTGAAGTCCACAAATCATAAAGTAACCATAGTTGCCCACCACTGTAACAGAATAACAGAGTTGGAAGGAGGTCATCTAGTCCAACCTCCTGCTCAGGTAAGAAACTCTATGTCATTTCAGACAAATGGTTGTCCAATCTCTTCTTAAAAACCTCCAGTGTTGGAGCACCTACAACTTCTGGAGGCAAGTTTTTCCACTGATTATTTGTTCTCACTGTTAGGAAATTTCTCTTTATTTCTAGGTTGGTTCTCTCCTTGATTAGTTTCCATCCATTGCTTCTTGTCCTGCCTTCAGGTGCTTTGGAGAATATGTCTGCTCTAAAGGGGAAGTTTCTTCCAATATTTTAGGAATGCTGTGAACATACCAAGGTTGGTGTGGAAAAGAGAACAAAGGAATAAACCCAAATGTGTGGAGGACTCATGTTTATTTTTTTTACAGAATACAGGTATACATATCTACTTAGAAGTAAGACCCATTAAGTTCAATGTAACTTGCTTCCAGATAAGAGGGAATAAACATACAGCCAATAGATCTTATTTAGAACTAAGATGCACTTAGGTTTTCCATGTAAATTCTTCCCTTTCAACTTAAGATGTAGCCAGAATGAACATTTCGTTTTTGTTATGGAAGTGCTATTGCTGTATAGGTTCTTTTTTCATGGTTTGAAAGCACATTTTGAAATTCTAATATCAAACAAAATTAAAGCAATTTTTAAAAGTAAATATACGCACATCAATCTCTCTGTTCCCTTTCAGGGTAGGCCATGTTATATAAAGTGCAGAAAAATAAAAAGTAGTAAGCAAAAGAAATTAAAGGCCAAAAAGAAAATGAAATGAATTTAATTTACACAAACACCATTCCTTACACCTTTCCATTCTTCCAACTATCTTTGCTTCTGCCTCATCTATAGAATTAATCCTATATTGCTTTCTCTTTTACAAGCCCTTTTTTGGAAGATCCCATCTCAATACTACCTCAGATAAAATTTTCATTACCATCATAGACCAACCTATACTTTACTTTATAAATTGATTTATTCTCACTAATGAGGAAAATGAATGATGGGGCTTAAAGAGGCTTCTGTGACAGTTGAACAAGTATTTGGAAAACAAAGAAAATCTCCCCCAAAAACTTAGAGTCTTTGACTGCAGGTATTGCCTACAACTTCCTAAAATTCCTTGATATGATTTTTTGTTTGCCCTGTAGCAGATCCAAAAGATCAGAAAGCATTTTCCCAGTTCCATCTCTGAGCGCTCTGTAAAAATTGGGAAATCAACGGTTGTACGATGCTTAGTTTGATTCATTAAGTTCTCCTTTGAGAAACTAAAAGCTGGAAGAAAACTGTACCAGTTCAGAGATTTATTTAGTTCGTCTTGCTTGTCCAAATTAGTATGAGAAGAAATCTGTTCAGCTTGCGTTCTAAAGCAAATTGAATTAATCTGAACTTTCAAAATGAAGAATGGAGCTACTATGTATGCTGGTATCTAAAATTCAATGGTTGTTTTCACAACGCAAAAAAAAAAAAAAAGCACAAGGATGTACACATGTGGGGAATGTACGTGTAGAAATGTATTATAATATATAAAAAAATCCACTGTTACTTATCTGTATTTTAAAAAAAAATTGTACTGTGCTGGAGAAAGTGTGTGGATGCAATCCATATATTCAGAGCAAAGATATATAAATGTTGACTTTAAAACAAACTGGCAAACTGATATGGAAATAGGAATAATTTTCAACACAGGAAAAACAAAGAAATGGGTGAAGGCAAAGCAGACGGGCTACCCGTATTCCAGGTAACTCCAGGAAGCAAATACAGGTAGTCCCCGACTTACGACAGCTGAGCCCCAAATTTCTGTTGCTAAGCAAGACAGTTGTTAAGTGAGTTTTGCCGTATTTTTATGACCTTTCTTACCACAGCTGCTAAGTGAATCTCTGTACTTAGTAAGTTAGTAACAAGGTTGTTAAGTGAATCCGGACTTCCCATTGACTTTGCTGGTCAGAAGGTTGCAAAAGGGGATCCCATGACCACCACCACCCCGGGACACTGCAATCCCTCACATTCTGTTGCCATGTGTCTGAATTGTGATCATGTGACCCTGGGGAATGCTGGCACACTCATAAGTGTCAAAAACGGTCACACGTTACTTTTTTCAGTGCCGCTGTAACTTTGAACGGTCGCTAAATGTTGTAAATCGAGGACTACCAGTATTACAGATTTGGGGGAAGCCAGAAGACAAGGCAGAAGTGCTTGAATGGACCTGCTGAATTCAGGCAACCAAATGTGGCTGACGTCGCAGGAGTATTTGGGGACAAAGGCAGAAATGTCGGTATATATAGGGTTAAATCCAACTCTCCTTCCTGTATGCAGGAGTCGGGCAACATAGCCCCTCCTTTATAGACTGTTATGTATGCAGCCTTTAGGGGCAGCCCAAAATAGCAGCCCTTGGCATATTTTCATCAGCTTCCAGTGGGTTGCTGCTGCTGCTTAGCTTTCAAATATCTGCCTAGGGCCCCAGGCATGCCAGAGATCATATTTCTTCAGTGGAATGAGGGGTGGGATGGAGGGGGGGAATTGCATTGGGGGGGGACTCACCCTCCATTGTCTTATCTCCCTCATAGACATGACACTGTCATCAGGAGAAACGTTGGGAGAATGAGAAGGCCCCAGCCATGCCGAGGAAAAAAGCACAACTCGTGATCATATTTGGGGAAAATCCTATAAACTGAGGCTTTGGACGGTTGTAGAGAAAACACAACACTACTGCCTCTGGGCTGAAAATGTGAAATAATAATAATAATATACAAAGCCGGTTAGGCAGAAGCTTTTAGTACAGGAGGAGGAAGACAGTGTAAAATCTCAAAGGGTGAAAAAGATTAAAAGGGGCTTAAGGGAGGTGGGTATCAGTATTTCTTGACCATGGGTTTTGGGGCTACTGGAGTTGTAATTGGTCTAACACTAGTTTCCCAACCCTGTTTTAAAGAGAAGCTTGCAGAGGATGAAAATAAGTGGAAAAGGAATGGAAAAGGTAGAAGGCAAAGAGAATGAAAGAAGAGGAGGAGGAGGAGGAGGAGGAGGAGGAGGAGGAAGAGGAGGATTAAGGCAGCTTCAAATCCTAAAGCTTCATTCATATGCTCTAAAAGAGAGGATATGCCTTCATTAAGTCACAGAGGCATTTTTGAATAAAAAGAAAAGGCGAGAGTGTCTATTTAATACAGTGCTTGATTGGATAAAACTACAATCCTCTGGAGCTCCATGGACGTTACTTTCAGGTAAAAAAAAAAGTAGAAGGATAGCAGACTTAATCTTTGGCACCTTCTAGAGTTGGTTTTCTCTCCTTCTTGGAAAGAGGATTAGAGGAAGCGAAGGAGCCAGGCGCCTGCGATGGCCAGAAGCACAGGCAGAGAGATGTGAGCAGAGGTGGCCCCTGAATTGCAGAAATCGCTGTCGCAGCATTTGTAACTGGTGACATATTTGATGCCCACGTAGGTCTCAGTATCATTCTTGCCACATTTATCCTGAGCGACGCAGTCCTTCCTCTTCATGAGATTCTGACCAACTAGGTGGAACATCAAAAGAAAGAGAGTGAGAGGTATGTATGGATAATGCTCCCTGCCACCCATACAACACACCATTATTGCATTGTTGAGAACAAGCAGGGCAGAAAGCACAGCAGAGCTGATTGATAGTTTGATATATCAGTGTTAGAGACCACCCATCTCACTCATTATTGCATTATTACAGCTAGGCAGGAAGGAAGGGTCAAGCGAGGAACTAGCCTTGAGTCCCTGCGTAGTCTCCAAAAGCATAAGACTAGTTCCCTGCTTAACTCCTCCTCCCTGTCTGGTGTTTCCCAATACAGAGTGATTCTGGATGGTGTTATTTTTATTTTATTTTATTTTATTATTTTATTTTATTATTTTATTTTATTATTTTATATTTTATTTTATTTTATTTTATTTTATTTTATTTTATTTTATTTTATTTTATTTTATTTTATTATTTTATTTTATTATTTTATTAATTTAATTTAATTTAATTTAATTTAATTTAATTTAATTTAATTTAATTTAATTTAATAATTTAATTTTATTATTTGTAAAATTTATAGGTTGCCCATCTTACCTGAGGTAATTCTGGGCTGCGTACAATCATAAAAATTAAAAATTATATGCTGCCGATCTCACTATCAAGTGACTCTGGGTGGCTTGCAATGTCAAAAATAGCAATATAAATAAATTAGAAGATTTAAAAATATGAAAAACATTAGGTGCTAAAAAGTTAAATTATTAAAATTAGCAACCTTAGAAGGAGAATGTGGAGGCAAAGGACCAAGGCATAAATAGGGTGGAGGTGGGATCTTCTCTTATTCTACTAGCTACCTTCAGAATGGGACACTCCCATTGGAACCCCAAGCCAGCTGGCAAATGAATGAATATATACACATTTAATATATAAATAAAACAAGTCTAGAATTATTAAAATTTAAAAGGCAGGGGGAGGGTCTAGCCAACTCTGAGCTTGCACGCTTCTCTGTAAGTCCTATGCGGGTTGAAGGAGTCAGATCTTCAAACTCTTCCAAAAGGAGAGTGGGGGCCCACCGCACTTTTGGGGGAGAAGATATTCCAAAGGGGGTCCGTGTGAAGTAGATATTGCTAAATGTTACAAATCCACACACTTGAGTCTAAAATACTCAAAACTGAGTGGGTCTTTTGCTGAAAAATTTCATGTGGCTTTGTTGGTCTTAAACAGACCAAAGATGGTTGAACAGATGAACAAAATAGAACATTTTTAATGCATTGCGTGATGTTGATTAGGAAACCCAGGGTTGTTTATTCCACAGATAGGTTCTACGGGGACCTATTCAGAAGTATTATTCCAAGAAACAAAGTCATACCAGATTAAAGTTCCTGGGGAAACAGCCTAGGTGAAGACAGGGAAGAAATTACAAAAATAAAAACAAACAAAACAAAAAAACATCCTTACCAGCAGCTCCCCGGATGACAGCACAAACTTCTCCGCTTTTACAGGTGACCGTTGAAGCGCTGCAGTATTTATTGAAAAGCATGAATGAACACTGCATACACTGAAGAGCAGATCCTGAGATGGAAAGAAAGTTTTGTTTTGTTTTTTAAAAAAGGAGGGAGATGAAATCAATTCAAGCTGGAATTCACAATACTATGCACACTTTTGGTGCCACCCCAATGAAATAATAATTAGGGCTAGAACTGGGCTCCTGCCCACCTAGATTCAAGTAGATTAATAGGTACCACTTCGGTGGGAAGACAACATGGTTCTGTGCACCTTTGGTGTATAGCAGGGGTAGTCAACCTTGGCTCTTTTATGACTCGTGGACTTCAACTCCCAGAATTCCTGAGCCAGCTAAGCTGGCTCAGGAATTCTGGGAATTGAAGTCCACGAGTCATAAAAGAGCCAAGGTTGACTACCCCTGGTGTATAGTCATGCTGGCCACATGATCCATGGAAATTGTCTTCGGACAACACTGGCTCCCTCAGCCAAGAAACAGAGATTAACATTGCGCCCTAGAGTTGGACATGACTGGACCTTTACCTTAGAACTGTGCAAGAAATACCATAGAGGGCAATTGCTTTTTGTGGTTGCATTTAATAACACAGCAAAATGTGGACACAGATCATCCAAAAAGTGGTGCACACACCACTTAATTCCCTTGCAAACTGGGATTAGAAGGCAATGCGATGACGTTTCAAAATCAGGGTCCTATCTTGACTTGTCCGCCTTTGAGCTTATAGGATTTAACCGCATGCGGCAAAAAGTGCTACTTTCAAACAAATGGTTGCAATGCAAACCCTGGCTGCCCCACGAGGGAGATTTATTTATTTCTCCTTGGGAATAATTGCACGAGTGTTATTCGTCAGAGGGTGGGAAGTTGGCGGCAGGATTAAGAAGAGGAGAACAATGCAGTCAAAGAACAGGGAAGCTGGAACCGGCAAGATGAGGTTTTATTTATGTATTTATATTTATTTATTAAATTTATGTGCGGTCCATCTTGTATTGAAACGACTCTGTTTCATTGTCTGCTAATTTCAGGTGCTTGATTAATGCACACCTGTTCTCAAATCAGGTAATAATAACAACAAGAACAACGAGTTGGAAGGGACCTTGGAGGTCATCTAGTCCAGGGCTTTTCAACCAGTGGTACGGGTACCACTTGTGGTACATTGGCACCTGGCAGGTGGTACGCGACCATCCTAAAAAAGTGGTAGCGGGGGAGGGGAATGAGCTGAACCGGCGGCAGCACCGCACAAGCCTGAGCGAGAGATGGCTGGAGCTGCAGGGCTGTCAGGGCTCAGCGGAAGCGCCAGGATCAGTGCCGCTTTCCAGCTGATCGGCGCTTCTTCAGGGCTGGCAGGGCTCAGTGAAAGTGCCAGGATCAGCGCCAGGCTCCAGCTGGAGCTCTGCGCTGATCCTGGCGCTTCTGCTGAGCCCAGAAGAAGCGCCGATCAGCTGGAATGTTGCAGCATCTCCAGGGTCTTGTGATTTACATTCAGATGCTGATTCATATTTATGATGGTCACAGTGTCCCAGGGTCATGTGAACTGACCAAAACCTGCTGCAACCACCCAGCAGACGGGTGGAATAAAAACCAAACACCTCCACCCCACCCCCGCTGCCAATCCTCAACAGAAATGCTCACAACAATGAAAACCTCAGACAGGAGGAAGAGCGCCGCTGGGTGGGCAGGCAGGTGTCTTGCTCAGCTGTGGCTTGGGGGGCACTTTTTTCAGTGCCATTGTAACTTCGAACAGTCATTAAGCAAACTGTTGTAAGTCGAGGACTACCTGTACTTTATCACTTTTTTCCTTTTTTGGGGGGGGGGGTCACGTTTTTGACACCTTGCTAGGCAACTGGTGGTACTCGGATATTGCCATACCCTAAAAGTGGTACCATGGGTGAAAAGGTTGAAAAGCCCTGATCTAGTCCAACCCCCTGCTCAGGCAGGAAACCCTATACCATTTCGGACAAATGGCTGTCCAGTCTCTTCTTTAAAACTTCCAGTGTTGGAGTCTTCTAGTTATGACCACGGCTGGAACCAGAATTTCCATTGCTAAGCAAAGCGGTTGTTAAGTGAGGTCGTGCCCGATTTTATGACACTTTTCACCTTGGTTGTGAAGCGAATCACTACAGTTGTTAAGTAAATCATTAAGGGAACCCGGCTTCCCCCATTGCTGTTTGGCCAAATGCCCACATTTTGATCATGGGACCAAAGCGGACGCTGAGCCAGTTATAAGTGCAAGGACGGTTGTTAATCATTTGTTTTTTTTCAGTACTGTTGTAACTTTGAACTGTTGCTAAACAAAGACTATAAATCAAGGGCTACTTGTACGATATTCAAGTTAGATATTTTTTTTTTCAGCATCTCTTACCATTTAGCTCAAGGCAATCCAAGCGTTACAGCAGTGGTTCTTAAACTGTTTGATTACCCCTTTCCCCAGGCTTAATAATAATAATAATAATGATAAAATTGGAAGGGACCTTGGAGGTCATCTAGTCCCACCCCCTGCTCAGGCAGGAAACCCTATACCATTTAGGACAAATGGCTGTCTAGTTTCTTCTTAAAAACTTCCAGTGTTGGAGCATTCACCACTTCTGGAGGCAGGCTGTTCCACTGGTTAACTGCTCTAACTGTCAGGAAGTTTCTCCTCAGTTCTAGGTTGCTTCTCTCTTTGGTTAGTTTCCATCCGTTGCTTCTTGTCCTGCCTTCAGGCGCCTTGGAGAATAGCTTGACTCCCTCTTCTTTGTGGCAGCCCCTGAGATATTGGAATACTGCTATCATGTCCCCCCTCGTCCTTCTCTTCGTTAAACTAGACATACCCAATTCCAGCAACCGTTCCTTATATGTTTTAGCCTCCAGTCCCCAATTTGGGTCTGAGCCTAGTGCTGAGGCCGATGAAGAACACCAGGCACAAAGTGCAGGGTTTTTTTTCCTTTTATTGAAACGCTCCAAGAAAAGGGGTCCTGGCCAAAATGCCGAGGAACCTTCAGCAATAGAATTAAGAAAGCTTTATATATTTTCACTAAAGCAGAAGGCGGGATAAGGCAGGATATATAAGAAATACCATCTAATAAACATTTTAATAATGATCTAACAATTATTCTATTGGTCTCTGGCCATCTCTATTCCTAAGCCTTGGCTATTGAATGCTTCAAGAGTTACCTAATACACATTGTATTTGGCTCCAGGCCATCCCTATTCCTAACTTCTCGCTGAGGTCTGCAAGATGCCTAACTCTTTGTTACTTTTATCAGCTTTCTAACCACCCAGAATTGTTACAAGCTTTACACGTGCATATTCCCTGGGAATAAGCATTCTTTGTTCTTGCCAGACAATTACAGGTTTCACTGTCTCCTTTCAAGCGTATGCCATAACCTTGCTTTGTTTTAGCAGACAGCCCATCACAAGTAATGCCATTATCCTCATCAAAAAAGCTTAGACTCGGTTGTTTTACACCAGTATCTTGGCAGCCATAGTGCCAAACTGAATCCTTGACTCACAAACAAGCAATTACATTACTTCATTATCCTCAATATATGCCCAAATGACCCCCTTGTAAATTACCCGGTAAGCTGATAATTACCTCCAGTTTAACACCCACTGAACTACCAGGTGGACAACCTTTTTTGGATAAAGGTCTTAATGGATCTTCTGACACCTGAATACCTGATTTCAAGTGCCTTATTGTGTTTCCCACAACTCAGTTTTCAGAGTTTGCACAGCACAGGGGCCACACGGCCTGGATTCAACCAGTTGGGCTAAAATGCAATTGAATTGTGAGCATACCTATAGTGGCTAGCCAGATGCTACAATGCCATCCAAGAACCAGAATGGCTGGATGTACTGTTTACAAAACAAAACAAAACAAAACACAAAACAACACAAAACACAAAACACAACACAACACAAAACATCCTTTACTGCAAGATTGTTCTGTTGTGAGTTCAGCTGCAAGCTCTAAGAGAGTGGGTTTGTGGCCCACCCAGTTAGCAGCCCCAGGAGATCAGGCAGAGCAAAACATAGCTGAGTAGATGAGAGAGACTGAGCTTCAGTTTAAAATAACAACAATTTTAAATTTGCAAATGTGCCCATGAAATGCAAACATGCATTCATTTTTGCGGTGAGAGGTGGCTGGGGGGAGGTGGGTGACCACCTTACTACCAACACAATGAGGCTACAGAATTTCTGGGCTCCTAAAAATTTCTGTCAAAGAGTGCAGAGAAAAGCAGAATAACAGAGTTGGAAGGGAGCTTGGAGGTCTTCTAGTCCAACCCCCTGCTCAAGCAGGAAACCCTATACCGTTGCAACAAAGATGATAAGGAGTCTGGAGATGATGTATGATGAATGGCTAACAGAGCTATAGGTACATCTAGATTTTAGAGGAGAAGGATTAAGGCAGTGATGGCGAACCTTTTAGAGACCGAGTGCCCAAACTGCAACCCAAAACCCACTTATGCATCGTCAAGTGCCGGGTGGATGTGGCTCATTGGCTGGGTGTGGCCCATTGGGTGGGTGTGGCCCATTGGGTGGGCGTGGCTGTGGTGGTAACGGCAGACTGGGTGGAACTAAAAAGTTCAATCAATCAATTCCAACTTTGCAAGATCTTTTTTTTCCCTGCGAGAAGTTGAAATTGACTGATTGATTGAACCTTTTTTTTTTTTTGTACACGGCAGCGGAAGCCTAAAGCGAAAAGATTTTCTAAAACCCAGATGAAGGCCTAGGACTGGGGTGACAGTGCATGTGCCCACAGAGAGGGCTCTGAGTGCCACCTCTAGCACCCGTGCCATAGGTTCGCCACCACTGGATTAAGGGGACATGATAACATTGACTTATTCTCCAAAGCACCAGAGGGCAGGAGAAGAAGCAAGGGGTCTTGTTAAAGAGAGAACCAACCTGGAAATAAGGAGGAATTTCCTGACAGCGACAACAAATAAACAATGCAACAGCTTGCCTCCAGGAATTGGGGGAGCTCTATCTCTGGAAGTTTTCAAGAAAAGATTAGACAACAAGGAGGTTGGACTAGAACAGGGGTCCCCAACCTGTTGACTACCGGACCACGGGAATG